CCTCCCGCGCCGCTGCTGCCGTGTGGCCCCGGGGTCGCCGCTCCCTCAGGGCCGCCGCCGGGGCGCGGGGCCGCTCCGCTGCTCCTCCGAGCGCCGGTGCCCCCTCACGGTACAGCCGTTGGACACGGAGCGGTGCCGGGCGMTCCCTGCCCGGAGCGAGAGAGCCGCGGCCCCGCACCGGGAGCTGCTCGGGTCGWGCCGTGCTGAGGCGGCGGGTCCCTGCGGAACAGCGCGGGGTCCCGGCTGATTTCGCCCCGTTCTCCTTAGAAAGCGGCTCGGACGGCWGTGGTGACAGCCCCAGAGTCCTTCGCTGCTCCCGGTCCCTGTTGTGGTGACACCCGGAGCTCCATGCCCCTKTATAGATCTCTCCCGTGGGGGCTCCTGCCAGCAAACTGCAAGCTGCTTTCTTTCTCCATCCCACCCTTTGGCTGATGATCACTTCAAAGTCCAGTAGCTGTAGTGGTAGTAAAGGTGATGTGTAGGTTCAAAAGTTTATAAACAGATTTAACACAACACAAAGTTATTATGGCAGAGCTGGAAGTAGATCCCAGATTTTCTGGCTCTTTAGTGCAGCTCCTGGCATCTTCCACCTCTTTTTTTTTTTTKTTATATATCTGGCACTGAACTTCACTTGGATTTGTTGCATTATATCCAAAGCCTCCCTGTCACAGATTTCTAAAGAGAAAACTTGAACTGGCTCCTTTTGACACTTCTTTCTTGAACATCTGTGTTGTATTTTATATCTGTTATTTGCAGGTGACATCTAATGATTTATTTTACTGAATTTTCTCTTTTCCTYTTTCAGCCGAGTGGTTTTACCTTGCTCAGTGCAAGAGGTATGTCCTGATCCTTCCTGATTTATTCAGACTGAGGGGTGGGAGGGGGGAATTTGTGTCAGAAATCTGACCAGCCTGGGTCCAGACCTTCYCTGTGCTGTGGCTGCTTCCTGACAGAGGTGAGAGCCAATTTTCAAGGAAGCCAATGCAGCACAGAGCCWTGAGGTGTTCTGAGCCCTCCACTGCTACCAGAGCAGTTGTGCTCTGTGGCAGAATTTTACTGCTGGTCCTGCACTGAGGGACTCTGAGCCTTTTCCTGAAGCCAGAGGTAGGAATTGTCTTCCCAGAACTGAAGCCAGCAATTCATATCACACTGAGGTACATTTAAATGWGAGTCATGATAGGATGTCTGTGGAACAGGGTATCAAACAGTTAATTTTTTTAATGTATTAAAGTTTTGGCCAACTTCAGTGCTGACATTTGACCTCTCTTCCCTTTCCAGTATCAAGTTGGGCAACTTTATTCTGTGGCAGAAGCAAGCAAAAACGAAACAGGAGGTGGRGAAGGAATTCAGGTCTTAAAAAATGAGCCTTATGAAAAGGATGGYGAGAAGGGACAATATACTCACAAAATCTATCATTTAAAGAGGTGAGAAAAGCCTTGATGCATGTTGTGGTCCTTTGGTGTTGTGCAATAAATGTTTAAAGGTGRGGGTAGCCTTCTATTGTTTGCTATTCTGGGACACTTGTCTGTGTTTTTCTGCCCCTTTGTGATTTGCTGAATTGTGCGTGAGTGCTGTGGTGAGTTGGAAAATGTGAAATATGATGGATTTTGAATATGTGGGATACTTGTCTGGGACAGCTGAAAGAATTGTGTTTGCTTGCTTTAGACAGGAGTCAGAGATGAGTGGGCCATAAGGTTCCTGTTGCAGGTCAGGAGCTGCTTGTGAGAGAGCTGAAGGTCAGGGCTCTGCAGTGCTCTTCCTCAGCAGGTGTCTTTGCAAGAGGAAGGATAGCACAGCTTTCATCATGTTCACACAGCTCACTCAGAATTACCTTACTACCTCTCACATTTTTTTCTTGACCATGTTGTGATCAGGAAAGTTTTTGAAGTTTCCGTGTATTTCACTGCAGGTGACAATGTACATCATAACCTCTCAAATGCTTGGGTAAAATGTTCCTTTCGTATTGGAGTGGAACAAACCAATGAGGAATTTCAGCTGGCAGAATTTTAAACCCCTTGTCCATGTTTGTTTTCCCAGTAAAGTCCCTGGGTTTGTAAGGATGATTGCTCCAGAAGGCTCCCTGGTGTTCCATGAGAAGGCCTGGAATGCATATCCCTACTGTAGAACAAGTGAGTGTCCCCRTGTGTGTTCTGGTGTTGGTGTTGTTATATGTGAGACCTTTCAGAAACAATTGTATCTAATCTGTGTTTTCTTTTCCTTTCCATTGCATGTRTTTCCAACGATGCCAGTTGTGACAGTGAGTATTTGAAATCCTACCAGTCATATATTGGGGTTTTCTGGGATGTATTTTGTCTGTTACTTCAATTGTCTGGCTCCAGCCTGTCATATGTGCCTTGTTAGGACTCTTAGTGTACAGCTCCATTACTTTATTTGTCTGCACTATAATTAAAACTGYAGTTTGTCAGAGAAATTATTTAATTTTCTTTATCTTTTTATGCTTTTACTTACCATTACAGATGTATATATAATGTATGTCTTGGTAAGACATAATGCTAAAAAAGATGGGAGGGGAAGAGCAATGTGTCAGAGGCTTCTACACTCCTGAATGCAGGAAGAGCAGTGAAATGGAATCAGTTCCTAGCAGTCTGAAATGCCATTGCTGTAAAGTGAATTCCTGCCTCTGTTAAGATAGGCTAACTGGGAATATAAATGGATCAGCACAGCTCAGGTTCTAAGATGCATGTGAGGCACATAGTTAAGATTTTAATGTTGTTTTATGTGTATTGGTGACCTGTTTAATGAAAACTTATAAGTTAAATGTTAAACTGCTTTATCTGCTCAATTGCAAACATGGTTTTAGATTGTTACCAGGTGGATGTGACTCAAGGAGTAACAAGTGAGTTTGAAATGTTGAGCTTGACTCATGGTGATACCTGTGCACAWAGGTGTGTGCCCTCTGACTTCTGGAATCAGCAGGGCTCTGTCATTGTCTTTAGACAGTTTGGTGCCAGCTGGACCATTCTGATCCAGCTTTATGATTGTTATTGTCCTGTACAGTAACATCTAACTGCAGTATTAATAATTAGAAAATCTCTTGAACATAGAGGTAAAGAACTTGAGGGTTGAGGAAGCAGCACAGTGAATGACAGGGTTATTTCTAGTGGTGTGCACAGATGGAGCTGGGTTTCTCAAACATGACTGGTTTTAGCTGAGTATTCACTGCTCTAGTTTAAGATTATCATGTTCCAGTTTCTGTGAGAGGTAAGGGGGCTGCTTCTCTGGTCATTTAAATTGATTGTGTTGCTAGTCAGGGATTTGTAGTAGCTGGTATGTAGATACCATTTATCTAAACTTACAGCAGAGAGGTGTAATCAGACTCACTCTTTTTGCTTTTAATTCTTACAGAATGAATACATGAAAGATGACTTCTTCATAAAAATTGAGACCTGGCATAAACCAGATTTGGGAACAACAGAGAACGTGAGTTGGGGCTTGGATACCAAGTCTAAGTGCAATTGTACAATTAGTACAGATTAAGTATTTTATACCCAGTAATGCTGATAATCACTGTGTAAAGTCAATGCCTGAGCAGTGAGTAAGGCAAGAAAAGCATTATTTAGGTCCTTGCAGGGTCACCAAGCTGTCTCATCTAAGGAGATCCAAGGACAGGAGAAGAGTTTTGGTTTTTATATTTAGAGGTGCATACAGATGCTTGATTCTCAGGCAAATATTTAAATCACTTTTCAGCAAGTTCTTTTTTTATTTCATGATTGTTCCTTGGACAGCTCTGCTGGCTGTAACTAAGTTTAGGTGTGCTGGACAGACCACAGGTGTGTTGCTAATTCCATCCTCAGACCTTTACACCTGGTCTCCCTTCAAGGCAGTCCTATGATTCAGGGAACCTAGGAGATTAGTCAGGTTATTGAAATCTGCATATTTGCACTTGAAATTCATACAACTTTCTAGCTTGCAGATTMTGGAATGGGTAATGGTTCTAATTAGAGCTTGATTTCATTAGCGCTAACAAATGTGACAGATGAATACAGCTTAATCTTCAATCCAGGTTTCCTGAATGCACAAGAAGTGAAGGCTTTGYACTCATTTAAAATTGATTAGTGAGTGAATTAAACTGTAATTGTGGAGATCATTCCCTTTGAGAAAGGCAGAGGAAGAAAGAGTAGGTTTGGAGAATGCAGCCTTTGCAGCATCCTGAAAAACTCCATGGCACACACATGTACTGCACAAGATGTGCATCCCCAGCWTGGGAATCATTCCTTTTTTCTTTTCTTGCAGGTGCACAATTTAGATCCAAACACGTGGAAGAGTGTTGAGGTTGTCCATATTGACATTGCAGATAGAACTCAAGTAGAACCAGGAGTAAGTAAATGTTCTGCTATTGGGTTTGGGATGTAGGCTGCAGCTGATTCCACTTGTGCTTTGTGTTGATAGTGAGCAAGCTAAAACGGTGTGGATTTCACCCAGCAGAGACATTCTTTTGTATATTTGACTGRCAGAGTATCAAAACAGAGTGCAGAGTGGTCTCATCCAGAGTCTTAAGTCTCTTCTGATGTTTCTACATTTCGGTTTCCTTTTTATTATTTTCCTTATTCTGTTTCCCAAGAAGMCTTGGGATTCATTTTCACCATGTGATTCAAATTTCTATTTCCATCTCATCTCCCAGAAACTCAGTTTTGCAAAGTCCTGACTTCACTAACCAAATGGTTTTGTGCTCAAACTCTTAGCAGACACTGGTAACTCTTGAGTTACCTGCAGACTGACACCAGAATCCTTCTGGGATTAACATCAGGAATTCTCTGAGTTCCACACTTGGAGTCTCTTCTGTTATAAAAGTTTGCAGTTTCTGGCCTTTGTCTTYTCCCTCCTCACTTCTTAGGAATTCAGGAGAGAGCCTTTCTATTTATGCTGTTACCTTTATCAAGTTTARGTAATGGAACTTGAATATTTTTTTTTCTTGGGAGTTCAGCTACATCATAACAAAATTGTTCTGATTGACATACTGGCTTTGTGCCTTCAGAGAAGGCTGCTGGTCTTGAAAAGTAAATGTTCCCTACAAAAGGATCCCTTTGTTCTATTTATCCAGATGCTTTTTTTCTGCAGTTTCTTCATCTTTGTTCAGTGATCTTTAGGCAATCACCAGTTCATTTTCTGGGATAATGTCTGAAATCATGTRTTTTGTATGGTTTTGGGGGTTTTTGTTATGATGCTTGTTTGGGAATTATCATTCTAAGTAGCTGGGTGGGTTTTTTTGGTCTGCTCCATTTTTTAGGGAAAAAGAATARTCAGTGTTACCAAAGGAAAGTTTTRTTTGTAAACTTATTTTYTCCAACATAGTTTTACCTGGAAAAGCAGCTCAGATGTACAACCATGGKTAACAGTAGAACTGAAAGAATGGAGCTACATGTATAAAATCCAGCAATTTTGATAAAGTTTTCATATATTCAAGATGTGTCCTTTTGTTCTGTGAGTGAACCTTGTCCACCCTCCTGTGGTGTAGCAGTTATTTTATTTTCAGAGCTGCAGTCAGCATAAATATGAAAATAGTAAATTTCTTCAAGCTGCTAATRGCATGCATGTACTGACTCATGCTCATTTAAGTATGTATAGGAATAATTTGGGTGACAGCTGTGACTTTCTTTAGATATACATTTAACCCTGCCTTCTCTTAATCATCTCCAGCCTGCAGTCTATGTCAGTTTATGTTGTTTGTATATAAAAGTGACTTCCCAGGAGAGAAAGACTTTTTAAAGTGTAAGCAAAAATGAACACTCAATTAACATCAGARGAGGCTGTGGTTTTGGAAACAATTTGTAGGAAAGTGGAGTGTAGCRAAAACAAATTGAAATCAGGTTTATAGCTATTTTTGTACAATGAAGACATTAAAAGTCTTGTTTAGGTCATAGGGGATCTTCATTATATTGCTTGAAAGAAAGTTCTAAAACTACAATTTTGCGCAAATCAGATTACACATGCCTTGAGAGTTTGGATTTCTGTGTGCTATCCTCTCGTTCTACAGTTTGAGGAAATACATTGGAATATAGGAAATTCTCTTCTGTAGTCTGTAAGGAAGTGTTAAAAGATTCTCGAATTAAAGAGCTTGATAGGTGGAKCTCTCCCATTTCAGACTTAATTTTTTACATGATAGGCAGTGAAACAACTCCATGTCATTAGTGCTGAACCTTGAAACCATCATGCAATGACACATCCCATACAACAGCCTATCTCTGTAAAACTAGGATGTGCTTTTAGTTTTTCACCCCTTTTTCTGTTTTCTATCCCTAGAGTAAAGCTTTTTTATCTGTTCCTGGGCATTTATAAATACTCATCTCTTCCCTCCTTGTTCCTGGAGACCTTTAACTTCTCATTCTGGGCATGGCACTGCAATGGGCATCTGTGATAACCAGGCTGGGTTCATTTCTCATTTGAACCTTGGCATTCTTTCAAAGGTGATTTCAAGGAATAGTTCCCCTGATAGCTGTGCTGTAGCTGCAGGGCTCTTCAGGAGATGGGAGTGATTGCAAGACATTTTTTATTAAAAGCCATTTAGCTAAACCTACCTAAAACACACAACTGCATGTCAGTGAGGTGTAGAGTAGTGCTGGAGACTGTTTTGGTTATAAGAGATGGGAATCMTGCACTGAGCTGGGAATATGACATAACTTGGATAAACCTGATTTTGGTCTTCTGTTGTGCTGTGAATGAGTATTCAGAGCTGGRATGATGTTGGAGGGAAGTGCTGGTAGGTGTTTCCTTCCACAGGGACTCTGTGAGTTTTTTGYTCAATAACACCAGTAGAATGTACATTCTGTAGTTTAAAAACTAATGTAATACTGAGCTGAAAAGCCAGAATTTGTGTCCACCTACCTGGTGGACATGATGCCACTCCATGCTCAGTTCCMTTTTCATGGATTTGCAGTTCAGGCATCAGACTTGTGTAATTTCCACGTGAGGGTCTAAAAATTTTCTTAAAATCATTCTGTCCTGTACATATGCTTCGAATTTTTATACTCTTTGATGTTGAACCATGAGCTCTCAGGAGCACTGTCACCACTCTGAGCAGATCTAAAGACTGAGAATGAAAATTGTAAAGAAGTGCCCAGGTTTTGGATTTATTGTGATKCTACTTTATTGTATGTGTTTCACAGTCTCTCTAAATCATTCTTTATAATAGATGGTTGCATTCATGCATATTATGTTGAGAACATGAGCAGAAACTGCCTGTGAAATTATATTTGTGTATTTCTTTGAAATGGTTTTGCTCCACTGTGTTGTTATGCTGCTGCAGGCTGATGTTTGTCTGTCTGGCTTTCCAGAGGGCTTCAGGGGTCTGAGCTGTAATATTTGCTCCAGCAGCTGCCTGTTTTTCTTCCTAAGAAGGACTTGTTGTTGTCAGGAGTTAAGCTCTTGCTGCACAGATATTTTTCTTAAACTCTGCATAGAACTGTTGTTTATTTGTACTTTGGCTCTGGTCCAGCCTTCGTCCCTGCGTGCTGGTAGGATTTGTGTGTGGAGAAAAGTTCCTACAATGCTCTCCTGTCTATCTAGGCTTTAGTCCATAAAGGATTTTCCCTGTCCTTAACAGGATTTGGGTTAACTGAGTTCTAAAAGGTCCTGGTTCAAAGCTTCTGTCTAGCATAGAAAACTTMACCATGACTCATCTGTTTTCTTTGAATTTTTGTTTTCAGTCCTACATTTTACTCATAGATAACATTTCTTCCCCAGTGATTCCAGCTGTGGTTATTTTTATGTGGGTCCTAAGTGCAAGAGCACAGTTGCTTTTTTCCAGTGTCCCTGTGCAGTGGGAGGTAGAATGGCAGGTAACAGCATCATGGGGACTTGAGTGTCCCTGGGGTATGCAGACAAATCATTCCACTCCATAAACCAGACAGATCATGTAGCTGAGTTTAAATGCCTCATGCYCCACACCATCACAGTGTGAGCTCTGCCTTGGTGGAGTGTTCACAAAGTGAAGATAAATTCAGGGTTGTCTCAATGCAGTACMTGGTTTTATTTCCAAAGCTGGCATTAGGATGTGGAATTCTTGTGTTTCTGTTTGGCATGTTGCTGCCCCAAACCAGCAGCAATTTTCTGCCAGCAGTAGTTACACATAGCAAAATTGTTCATCCATTGCCATAGCTTGATCTACCTCCACATCTTCTATCCATTGGTTGAGTGAAATTTTTAAAAAGCAGTCATGATCAGCAATTTAAAACATTCAATATATTTCTGTAAAAACATTTTGCTGTACATTTGCATAGGTATCTTAAAGGTGATTTATATAAAGAAGATGACTCTTTTTCCACCCAGGGATTGTTAAAAAATGATTTTTAAAAAGTGTATCACGTTGAGCCTCTAGGACAATGCAGAGCCTGAGGAATCCAGTGGGTTGCATCTGTCCTGTCCCACAGTATTTGGAAATAATTTGTGGGATGAGCAGTGTGCAGCTGGTGGCAAGCCCTGTGAACCACTGGGTTCCTGGAGGAGAAGGTCTCACAGGCAGCCAATGGCTCTGGCTCAGTGCTGCACCCACCCTGCTCCAGAGCACTCAGGGAATCAGTTTGTCACCATGAGCAGAATCTTGACACAGCGGGATGTTGAATCTGGTGGGGCTTTCTGACTCTCAGAGTGTTTTATGTTACAGGACTACAAAGCTGATGAAGACCCTGCATTATTCCAGTCAGTTAAGACGAAGAGAGGACCTCTGGGGCCAAACTGGAAGGTACTAGGAACTGGTGTTACAGCCTTCTGAAACCTTTATCAGCAGACAAACAAAGTCCACGGTTTCTTCAGGATTTGGCTCAACTCCCATTGAGGAACAAATGTCCTGTGGACCAGCACATCTCGCTGTGACACCCCAAGAGCAGCACAAAGCTTGCCAGTACCCCCTGAAAGCCATCAGAATCTATTCCAGGAGGGAATGGACTGWTTGTGCCACACCAGAGATCCCCACAGGAACTGAGCAGCCCAGTGCTGTGCCCTGGAGTGAATCACAGGGAGTCTGTCAGAAACAGCCCCCAGTCACTGATCAGAATGTTGTTTTCCTGTAATAATACTTAGAATTATATTTTATATCATAAGAACATAGTTAAATTTAATTAATTTACTATAAATTAATATTATTTATCATTCTAATGCACTAATTAGAATTATAATTTCTAATACTTAGGGTTTCAAAGTATTAAAACTTCTTTCCCATTACCCCCAACAGAAGGAGCTAGCAACCGATGAGGAGTGTCCCAAAATGTGTGCTTACAAATTGGTGACCATCAAATTTAAGTGGTGGGGACTGCAAAACAAAGTTGAAAACTTTATACAAAAGGTGAGTGCCTCTGCCTTGTGGGGAGGGTGCTGTGTTGACGTGGGGGTTGGTTTGAGCAGGAGCAGCAATGCAGTTTCCTGTTGTTCAGAGCTAAGCAATTCCTGTCCACTTCCCCAGCCAGGCAAACCATTTGTGTGTCTTGGTTTGCTACAAATKGGGCTTCACTGGTGGTACCAGAACAATTCATTACAGAAAAAAGCAAAGTCTTGAGGTACTGACTGTTCTGGTTTGGCTGCTGCCAGTAGACCTCAGAGCTGAAACAGATTTTTAAAATATTCTGCACAATTTTGAAGTAATGTGAATTGCTGAAGTTTGTTGAAACTCTTCTTTGATAGTGAAATCTGTTCATTTTTTCCATGTTAAAGCATTTGAGAAATGAGGGGAATTTAAATTGCATTCAGGGGCATGAGGTGGCTGAACCTGTGGCAGAGTGAAGCAGGCCTCACCTGAAGATTTAAACTCTTCAAACTGAGCAGCTGCAGTCACTTCAACCAACCTTTGGCAAGTCCTAGGCTTGTGATCTAATGCTTGTTTATCTTCTTAAAGCAAGAAAAAAGGATATTYACCAACTTCCATCGCCAGCTGTTCTGTTGGATTGACAAGTGGATTGAGCTGACTATGGAGGACATTAGGAGAATGGAGGATGAAACCCAGAAGGAGCTGGAAGCGGTAAGAAAGCTTTTTTTGAAGGCTCTGGTCTGCTTCTACCTTCAGATTTATCTGTTCAGAGGCGAGTTGTGTGGTGTCCACCCCGTGTGTGTGTTTGGGTGATTGCTGGTGGACACTGTGGCCCCTTTAGTGCAGCCCTGTGTKCTTCAAGCTCCTGCATTCTGTGCTGTCCAGCTGGAAGGCTGTAAGGTGAGTATCTGATGTCATTAAATGCAGAATGTCTGCCCTGACTACCTCTGTGTTTATGGCACCACACCCATTGCACAAAGTCCCATTCTGGGCCCTTTTGCCACTTGTTGGTTTGAACTCAAAGCTGTCACTGTTCCCGTTCCATCATGTGTCTTGCTTTTTTTTCATTTCTAATCGTCACTAGCTATGATTGCTTTTTCTCTTCAAGCATGCTTTCAAGCTASTTTGTGTCATGTGTCAGCTGTTCCACTTCTGATTAGCACACSAGACCAAAATTTTACTTCCAAAAAGGAAGTCAATAAAATCAGCTGAGATTGTGTCAGTTTTCCTGCTTCAGTGGCTGTGAGGACCAAATCCATATGGTCTGACGTGTCATGGGATGATGTCTGGGACAAAGCTTAGAACTTAGGGCACTGTCACTGCTCTTTCAGAGGTAGAGAACCACCACAGGCTGGGAAGGAAGCCTTCTTCTGTAGTGTCTTTCCAGGGCATGACCTTTGCCATGAACCTTTCCCATATTAAATTCAGTTTTGCAGGCTTTTTGCAGTTCTTGGATTTGTARTTTATATTTCCTTCCCATTTTGACAATTGCTTCACTCCTCAAACCCAGTCAGGTAACCCAGACAGTTCCAGTCTTGGTTCTTCCAAGACACAAAGTGTCTTCAGCTACAACTTTCTTTTTGCCTGGTTTGACTCATTCCAGGCACCCCAATCAGGTTGCCTGAGGCTTCAAATCAGCCCTGTGACCCATTCCATGGTCTGTGCTGGAGCACCTTTGCTGTTGGTACCAAACCAGCTGAAGCTCCTCTCTCCCCACTCGTGCTCTCCAGGGACTTTTCAAACAGTGTGGAACAGCCTGTGTTGTGTAGGAATGTTTTCTGGGTTTGGAAGAAGTGATTTTTCACAGTCCTGTGCTGAGCTGGTAGCACCAAATGTTTTTTTTCCCATAAGCTGAAGGGTTTGGGTCAGCAGCCCCTTTGGACAAGGAGACCCTTTGGACAAGTTTGGTGTTCACTCACTCTTGCAGACCTTGTGCTCTCTCAKGGGCATTTGGGTATTTTTGACAGCTCTCTCAAATCATGGGGCTTTCTTGAATTCAATTTATGCCTGWTCCTGTTCCTAGAGCCACCTGTTCCCAGGTGTCTGTGAAGGAGGAAGCGTAACAGCTGTCCTCTCTAAACTGATTTTTGCCAGAAGGGTTCTCTTTTGCACGTCCATAGTTCTTCATTTGGACTGAAACAGACTTTATCCAGTTTCCCTGAGCAAGAGTAGTGGCAGTGAGGAATGCACACTAGAGGTGTGCTGGAGAGAAGCAGCAGAAGCTGACACACCTGTGTGCATGAGAAAATTGTTCCTTTGTGTCTCTGTGGACTGTGGATGTTTTGTTTCACTTTTCTCACTGGTAAGTAGCTTCTTTTAAATATTTTTTTTTTTCCAAAATACTTGCTGCTCTTTTAGTTCTACCTGAAGCCAAACCCAGCTCACATGTCTCTGGGTGTAACATTTATCCTCATTCTTAAACAACAAATATATTTATTTAATATTTTCTCCTTTTGCAAAGGCAAATTGTTTTTTGCAAATAGCTTGTTGTGTGAGATGAAGTGCCAGGAGTTTGTGTATTGTTGACAGTTGGGTTGTTTGTTTTTTTTTTCACAAGATAAATGTATTGATGTTATACTAATCCAGATTTCTGTGGATATTGTGAAATGTGAGAGGAGTAGGGACCTACTGTCTTGGGGTTTTCTCAATTGTTGAAAGAGGATTATCTACAAACACCTACAAATTATATAATTGCAATGGGTTTGTGGTGCAGTGCAACCTAAAGGCAAAAATGTCACTGCTAAATAATATGAATGCCAGTCTTATCCAAAATAATTTGTCATCTTGTTTCATWTTCAACTGCTCCATCCATTGTGGTCACCGGTAACTGCCATTACATCCCTAACACACCACAGAGTTTTATGGCCAGGACCTCTGGGAAGTGAGTGCTCAGGGATGAGGTGCTCAGTGTGACACAGAAYGTCCCTGCAGAGTGGTCAGGAATGCAGTAGGCACTTCTGTGATGCTGAAAGCCAAACCAGGCACAAAGCAGGGCTGGCAGTGCATGTTCTTTCCCACACAGCTTCCTGRTACTCTTCCCCTTCTCATGAACACCCTTTCTTCCTTCTGCTCCGAGCTGATATTTCTCTGGATTCTGTGCACATTCCAGTTCTTTTGTTGCTCCTTTGCTTCATCTTCAGTCGATTTTTATAGTCAGGATCTCTGCTTTTGTTACTTTCTGTTACTCTCTGAATGCTCATCAGTGTTCTTTCAGAGTTTCTCTGTCCCAGTCCATCTTTTTCTCACTATTTGTGTTTCACTTGGTGGATTCTGTCTCTGGCTCCTGGAGATGAGAAGCACCTTCGGTCCATGAAACATGCATCAGCTCATCAGTGCAGAGTAGGAAATCATCTGGTCCAGCCAAAGCCCTGTGACCAACCTCTCATGCCTGTGTGAGGGCAGAGATGCCACACTGGATATCCTGAGCAGTGACTTCATCCTGGAGCATCGTGGGCTTGATAAAAATTCCAGCAGCATTGKTTACAGCTGCTCTCTCCAGTTCCCAGGTCTCCTTGCCAAAAAAGAATTACCATACCATRTCCAAAGCCCTGAGCTGTAGCTGGTCCTGGCCCTGGAGAAGCAGTTGCTGGCCCTGTAGGTCATTCCTTCTCTCATACTAACACGGCGTGGCAGGTTCTGTGTGTGGAGCTCACATTTTATTTCACTTCAGATGCGTAAGAAGGGTTCCGTTCGAGGCACTTTGGCTGCGGACGTCTAGAGGAGTTCTCTGTAGGTTCTGAGGCAAAGCGAGCTGTGTAAGTCAACTGCCGGATGCAAAAGGAGAAGAGGGATTAATGTTCTTTTGGATGGGAATTGCTAGCAGAAATCATCTTAAAGTCCACATAACCTATGTGGGCCCAACCTTCCTCCTGCTCGGTAACGGTGTGGCGGTCAGCAGGTGGGACTGACCCCTGGTGCCCAGGGCGTACCAGATGGGCACCAGAGCAGGATCTTGGGCCAGGGGCAGGATTCCTGCAGCATTGGCCACCAGCCCTGGTGCCTGAGCTTCCCCAGTGCAGGCACCTGAGGTGTGGGATGTGCTGCTGCTGCTGTGGTGGTGATGGCACCGAGCCCTGGCGCCCGCCCCTTTGGGCACCGCTCACACCCGTCAGCATGGCTTTGCTGCACGCAGGAGCAGAGTGCTCATGGACTYGGTCCATGTCACTTAGGAAAGCTGTGGAGCATCACCTTCCACCCACGGTCAGTTCTTGAAATCAGTAGACACTGAACTGTGMTAGAACCCTCACTGCAGGAGCAGGTTCTCTGGGAGTTACAGGCTCTTGGTGCTTGTGCCCAGCGCTTCAGTGCAGCTGTTCCTCACAGTGGCTGCTGTAACACCCCAGTCCCAGGGTGCCACATCCCACTGATCCGTGTGAGCTCCCAATGAACGCAGCCGCTCCCACCCCTGGGGGCAGCTCCTACCCAGGGACAGCTCCCTCTGAGATTCCCTCAGGAGCCRGCATCGCTTTGGTGTGACTCTCAGTGGTGTTGTGAGGCCCTGGAGATAATCTCCCTGCCTGTTTGGAGCTCGGTGTAACTCAGCCATTGCCCTTCCTCTCTCCACAGCTGCGTAACCAAGGCCAAGTGAGAGGAACGAGTGCTGCCAATGACGAGTGACGCCGGACGGACGCCGATGCCGGATCTCGGATGTGTGTGTGGGTGCATGACTCTCTGTATATAACTACACACACACACAGACGGAAGGGGTGGTTACAGTGTCTCCGGGTGCTAAACCTGTCCTAGCAAAGATTCCAAGGAAACTGCTTTCATTATGTATCCCCCAAGCAAATAAAAATCAACTGAGTAGTGTCATTTAAAGGATGAATTTTGCTAACTGGTATGTTCATGAATGTCAATACTGGACCAATTTCTGCCCTACWTGTTTTCTCTCCTGTCCGAGTCACTCTCTCTAACTCGCCCGTCTCTCATTGTAAAGGAACACTCAAACAAGTTAATTTCAGTTTTATGTCTTCCCTATGTGATGAGTTTTTGGAATAGGAACAATGAATGTATTTATAGCTATTTATTTCTGGATTGTCATTATCCTCTAGTCAAATCAGAAAAAAAATTTCTATTAGTGGAAATTGGAAGACTTTTACTGTTGAATAAGTTTAACCCAAACTTTACCCACTCACTGATTTAAAAGAAAAAAAAAATCATGTTTTATTGGACTTTTGTACATTGAAATGCTAACGGTTTTCTTCATTAAAATTGGCAAGATTAAGGAAAAATGGCTTGTGATTTATAAAGTAATTTTCAATTTGAAATTTTCCAGAATCTGCTTTTTTAGACAAGTACACTGACAGTACCTGTAGAGCATTTTCCAGTGTATCTTAGGCCAAACAGTGAGGAGAGGCAGAGCCATTCCCTCCAGGAATACTCCTGCCAGAGCAGTGGCTGTTTTCCAGAGCTTCCCTTTGGAACCCATGCAAGCAGYCTGGATTTCACACACAGCAATGGAATATAATAGAGATTTTAGCTGTTTTCATGTTGGAAATACACTTTGGGAGATGTAGACTTTCAGATATGACAGTTTCAGTTGTAGCCCCTGACATGTTTCCCTGCTGTCTATAAGGGGCTGATGTGCAAGAGCCCCTGGGGTAACAAATTCCTCCTGAAGGAAACTCCACAGGGAAAAGGTCTTCAGCGTGTTTAAGGAACTATTCAGAGCACATAACAGCAGGGGATATTATCCTAATGCTTGTTAGATCAAAGAAAAAGTATTTTAAAAGCACTAGTTAGATAAAGATCTGTTAATGCCTGGTTTCCTCCCAGCACCCTTGGCAGGGTGAGCCTTTCCTGAGCTCCCAGGAGGGATCTGATTCCTGTTACCATCAGCGACAACAAAACATTCCTGCCCTGGCAGCACGGGTCAGGTGTGCTGTGCACCTTGTGCTGGTGCTGTGCACGCTGGCACTGCCTCACCTGGSCATTGCACCTGCCCACTCTCCAGGCCCCACAGTGAGGTTTTGTTTTCCTTTCTGGGTTAGCAGTTGTTTGGGTTATTTGTCCTGTGCCACCCCGAGGTTGGGTTGGTAAATGCAGGGATGTGGCACACACACACAGAGGTCATCCAAGTGCCCAAGCCCAGGATGGCAGCACACCTGGAACCCAAGGGTTCAGTGCTGGAGTTCATGTCCTGCCACTGTAAATGTGTTGTAACACAGGCAGAGGGAAAAGGGCCCTGTGACTTCCACAGATTTGGACTAGTTGTGAAWATTTGAGAGAATCTTGTAGTGAATGTATAATGTTTAGTTTCCTTCAGCAGTTTCTGGTGTGACTGACAGTAAAGCGGGCAATGAAATTTAATTAAATAAATTTGATCATAAAAAGCTCTGTCTCTTATCTCAGGCACTCACATCTTTGCTCCTGAGCTGGTGTTTGGGGTCCCAAAGGCTGCTCTCACCCGGGGCAGGATSTCTGCTCTGGGGCTGGGTTTGGTTTGGGATTTCAAGCTGAGTGGTGCGTGCACCTGGAACCTTGACACTGAGCAGGGAGAGCTCCTGTGCTGTGTGCCCACCGTGAGGAGGAGGTGCTGATGGGGTCTGGGTGTCCCTCCCTGGGCTGGCTGTGCTGCCCTCAGGATGGGCTCAGTGCAGGTTTTGGGGCAGGGTTCTGCCTGCTGTGGTTGTGCAATCACCTGCTGCAAACAGAGACTTGTACGGTTCCTTTGGTAACTGCAGAATTTAATTCTTTCTTTACWACCAGCTTGTTTGGCTTCCAGATGGCAAACCAACAGGAAGCAGTGGAAGTGCAACGTAGTTTTGATGTAATGGATATGTAAACGTGATAGTTATTCACTGCAATAGACTGCTGTGAACCATATTCCAGCAGTAACCTTTGAAATCCATCACTTGGCTGCGCACAAGTGTGACCTAAAAGGGACTTGTAAGGAATTTCCTTTTTTTTTTTCTGGAAGGATTTTTAATCATTGAAGAGAAAGGGGAATGTTTTCTGTCTTTTGCTTTTACATGTAGACTGAGAAATGTCAGGGAAAAAAATGTGCTGAGATTTTGGCTCTGTTGGGATTTTCCACCCTCAGGCCTTTCTAAATACTCTCTGAGCAATCTGAAAATATCCTGTAAGACAATTTACACTGCATTTCCAAGCCTCAGCTGATTCAGCCGTGTTTAGGAGCTGCATCACATCCCAGAAAGTGTTGTGGTTTTTTGGCAAAGTCTGAAGTATGGGGCTGTTGCTGGGGTTTTATTCAGTTCATACAATTTGAGAGTCTTCTCCATTGAATTGTGTCTCAACAGAATCATCAGGAAAAGATTTGCTTTGAAGTTTTGTAACTTTTAATGGAAGACTTTCTACTTGCTTGAATTTATATGGAAAATGAATTTTAATCAACAGCATATAATTGTCAGGAAGCAGAGATTATCCAGAGAGTGATGCCTGCAGACTTTTTATTCCTGGGAGCCTCCTCTTCTCCTTGTTGCCTGCTGTGAGCAGAATTCAGTGTGCAAACCCTACCACAATCAAAGTTCTGGCAAGCACGGTTGTTTTAAAGGTTGTAATGATAATGTGCCATGCCCAGGTTTTGGAGGCAGGTTTTCCACAGTTTCCACCCGAGGTATCACCCGTGTGAGGACCCTTAGTGTGACATCAGTGAACTCCTGTGGTGCWGTCCCTGTCTCCAAACACAGTAAGCCCTTATTTAATTTAAAAACTTTATTTTTCAGGTTGGAGACCTGTTTTTTTTTTTTCCAGAATCCCATCCACCTTAATTCTTTATTTTTTTCTACAAAAATTACATGGCTTTCTGGTTTAGAATTGCATATCCAAGACACACAAGAAATTCGAGGTATTTGTTGAATCTGAACTTTATACAGCTTCTCCAACCCCAGCTAAAATTTTGATATGCTACTTTACCAAATTTCCGTTTTATAAGCTTGGCTTTAGCACCCTCTAGAAACAACACCTAATGCTGTTGCTCCTTTTGCAAAAGACTCTGTCTCCCTTGTTTGTCACAGAAACGCAGTCCAAGGTAAATTAAAGGAATGTGATTATCAAGACTTCTGAAAAACCCAGTAGTCCCTGGCTAAACTGTACTGTAAAAAGAACTGAGCTACACTAGCACGGGAAGTCCCCGAAAAAGGCTGGAAGCAAAGTGACCRTAATTGAAATCTGAAAGCAGCAACTTCATGAAGAAGTAAGCGAAGAGGCGGCTCTTTGTAAATGATGATCTAAAAAGTGTTCTGGGTTGCGAGACCTCATTTCAAATGTATTCATTAAATAATATTTGAATCATTTAACAGTTTGAACTCTACTGCACTGCTAATATCTTCAGGGGATTTTTTTTTTCCCAGTAACAAAGGTGCCTTTGTTCCCGCTCAGTGCTCGGGCTGTGCCTTGGATATTAGTTGGAAACCTGATCACCCGACATCACTCCGTGGCTGCGAGTACAATGTGAGTCGTCTGCAACCCGGATTAAATCAGGCCCTTTGTACAGATGCTGAGGGGCCGTGATGGTGGAGGAGCGATGGTTGTGGGCAGCAGGAGATCGTTAACCCTTTGTGCCTCTGGCGGGGAGATGGGAGGCTTTGGGGAGGCTGTCGGGGCAGTTCTGTGGAGCAGCCAGTAGTGCTGCAGAAATTCTGCTGGAAAGCAAATAATTCCCGACGTGGGGCAGGTGAAATCACGCTGCTGGACCTGGTGCTCAGTGCCTTGGGATGCCTCTTCACCATAGCGTGTGAGCAGGGGCACTTTGATTTAAATTGGAAAAGTCAGGACTGTGAGCCAGGGTTAACCAGCGGCTCAGGAACCCACATCGCGCTGCTGAAACTTATGAAGTAACACGATAAATAATAAACACAAGAGCAGCTTTATTTGCCTGGTGGCTCTGAATTCTGGGCTCCAGGCTCTCGAGCATCCCTCTCAGCACACGCAGGGAGCCCCGGGATCCAGCGTGTCCCCCAGCCCTGGGGCAGGAGGGATGGCAGCGTTTAGCGGGGGACACTGGAATGTGGGGGATGCTCTCCAGGAGGAGCCAAGCTGTCCCCAGTGGGTGACTTCCTCAGAAGCAGCGACCTCCAAAGCCACATCCAGTGGCTCTGCTGTGCCCAAAAATGCCCTGYTCTGCCGGGGTAGGTGGGTGCTGTCCTGGCAGGGAGCAAGGACAGGATGGGACCGCTGCGTGTGGGGCATCCCAGGGGATGGCAGGATGAGGAGAGGAAGCACCAGGGCTCTCCTCAAGCTAATACTGAGGGGAAATTAAGTCATCAGGACTTTCATAAAACACCCTCTGGCTCTCTCTTTTCACAGTAATTCAATTTATAAGATGATGAAAAATGAATTAACTTTGGTGGTTTTCTGGCATCACCCACAGTGAGCCAGACTTTCCAGATGCTCAGAGATTGTTCCTGCTCCACCACGCTCACATAAATTCCCACCTGGTTCAAGTTTAAGAAATCAGCAGAACAAAGTTGGTCACACAAACTCTACCATGAAACACTGAGGAGAGTTAAACACCAATTAGCCATATAGAGAGGTGCCATTTTTTTATTTATGCTTCACGGAGCTATTTTAGGAAACATAAAACTTTTACTGTTCCTGTAGCCAAACTAATTCACTATTTCTGTCTGTTTCTGTTTGTTTCTGTTGTGTGGTATATATTATATATCTATAATTTATTTTTWTTTTAAATTTCCCCTTCCCAATGGAATGTCTGATCCTACATGTGTGTTTTAGAGATGGGAATTCGAAAGGGTAAAATAAAAGCCCAAGCAGTGGACTGTGCTATGCACAGGAAAAATTGCTTTAGGGTTTCCTATGTTTTTACTAATGTACATTCTCAGTGTTGTACGATTCTAGTACTATCCTGTTTTTTAGTCACCCAAATTTTATGTTCAACCAAAGCATATTTTTGGTGTTCATTATAAGTACACCCAAGTGCAGCATGTGCTGCAAAAGTTTTTACTTAAGCGGCATAAATGGGACCCAATCTACAAAATTGGTGAAAAAAGCTGTTTGCAGCAATGAAAAAATCTGATGTTGTGAAAATATCATGATCCATGCTGAGGGACCTCTAAACCCAAACAGGAAAAATATACAGTTTAAGGCTGCAGCCATGTAAAGGAGCTAAAACCATCTGACCAACCTTGCAGAAGAACCAAACAGGAAAATCCCTGGGAAGGGCTAAGTTCTGAAATCTCTGTCGATCCCTATGGGAAATGACTGAGATGGTTTTAGTCCCTTAACTCTGTTTATTCAGCTATGCATTTTTAAAAATGGGAAGCAGCAAAGCGTCTGAAGGAATTTGGTTCAATCTTTCCAGAAACCACATTTTTGGTAAAACTAAGCATGAAATCTTTACACCGGCAAGGTGAGCTTCCCAGAAACTGAATGCAAATCAGSTTTCACAGATGAAATTGTCTTTAATCTCAATTACAAACCATGTCACCTCCAGACACTGGAGCAGGGAAGGACAAGAAGTGACAGAGGTTGGATGGCTGGAAGTCTCTACATGTTGATTTTCAGCCGGTGACTCCCAGCTCAGCAGTGTGACCGTGCTGGCAGCAAATCCCTGCTGTGGGCACAGCCTGAACCATTCCGGGCTCTGGGACCAGCCCAGAACAGAGCCCSTCCACACCCAAAAATCCTTCTGTTCTCGGGAGCTAAAGCAGATGTACACAGACAGACACCATCCCCTGTGGAGCAATGCTTCCCTCGGGGGCTGGCTCTGCACTCACAAGCTCATCTAATAATTTTATACATTTTCCTCCTGTGTCCGTTTTGCTGCACATTCGCTGCAGTTTGAGAGAGAGGAGATGCAATCATTTCCCTAAACTGTTCCAGGCAGAAAYGCTGAAAACTTTCCCGAAAATGTCAGCTGCCAGATTTGGAGACCCGTCCTTCAAAATATTCCAATTCTTTTCACCAAATATCCCTGCTAGGACGAGAAATCCCTGCCAAGAGAAACCCACCAGCTCTTTTGGGATCCTCTGCTCCAGGGCCCATCACTGGGGCTGCTGTGTGACACAGAGCAGGCGTTGGTGGCACCACGGAGGACAGGGAGTGGCTACAACTGAGGTACCTGAAGCTGCAATAAGAACAAGGCACCTCTGGAGAGCTGGGAGTGCAAACACCGCTGAGAAATGAATTTGGGTTCCCTCYGTGTCGGGGTTTAAGAGGCTCTTGCTAAGGGCTGCCTGAGCTAAAGTGTCTCGAGCATATGGGCTTATTTTGTGSAGTTTCTGTGGTGGTTTCTTCGTTAGATTTTCAGTGGTAATGAGCCCACACAGTAGATTGCTGCAGGGAGAAAAAATCATTCTGAATAGGTTTGCTGAATAATTATGAACTGAGCTGAACTCTTACATTTGCTTACTAA